TGTTATCGCTGAACTTAACAAGAAATTGTCTCAGGCTTCTGTGGACAAGTTTGATGAGTCTGAAGAGCATGAGATAGAATCACAGACGTCAGAGCATGGTAAGCCTAAATAATTGCACATGGTTAGGTTTACATCATTAAGTGCATTAATATTTAAATTACAAGCTTAAAATTCTCGTCTTGAAACCTGTACTGAAGCTTTTAATTAATCATTGAGCCTTTGCTGACAGAGACCCAGCTATGTAAACCCAATTAATTACCGGTACTCCCAAACAGCGTATCATAAAAGTAAATTCAACCAAGGGCCAAGAGCTGCAGCCCACCAGCCATGCAGCAAAAAGTATCTGGTGTTGAGTTCTTAATGGCTTAATGAGGTTGTCACAATTATTAGTGAATCATCCCTAAACCAAACTTCAAGGGACTTTTTGTTTGACGTTTTATAACCCTAAGCCCTGAAGCCAAGTGTGAATTTTAATATAATTATTTATGGTCTATTGCTTTGAAAGTTGTTGTTATTTATTATAACTTATATCTGATTAATAATTGAGTAGGTCTTAAAGAATAAACAATAGAACAATAGTGGCCTTTCATCACACAAACAAGACTCCCTTAAAACAAATCTTAAAAGACTAAGAAATTCTTTGGGGGGCAGGGGGACATATATGGGTTGGCCTGGTCATAAACAGAAAAGGAGGACTTTGAGTAAGCCCTGAATTTATTTACAAGGAGAAACTTTCTCTACTTTAAAAGCGGAAATTGATTTATTACTTTTGAAATATTTTCATCACTGTAATGTATGTTGTGGATTTAATCTTTGGTTTGAATCAAACTGGTTTAAAATTTTCAAACTGGATAGAAATTTTTCAACACATAACTCGTTCTCATTTATTTTACCTCTCCCTGTAATATACTATGTAAAATAAACTTGTGACATCAAGGTGTCACATTTTAGTAAGGTAGTGTTTTAGGGTGCATTTGATTGATTGTATTTGGGAAAAGAATACGCTTAAGTTTTTTTAGAAACCTCTTCACTCTTGCATCATGATGTTTGGATTACTTAACGCTTTTAAACAGATTTCTGGCTATTGCCATGCAAGAAATTCCAAAACAAGGGATTTCCAGAGTTAGTCTGTTTACTCTTACTGTGGAATACAGTAAACTGAACTCGCCCTTAGTTTTGTTAAGAAATTATTTTATGTAAAATACCCTTCATACACCCCAGCCAATTTATGAGGTTTGAAATCCAAATGAGTAGGCTGACTCCTCTCAGAGGCTTACAGCTGTAATTGAGGTTTTTTTGATATATTCAATGGATATTGGGATCAGCCACTGTGGAGAGCTAGTATATGTTGCCGTTAATTTTTTTATTTCGGTTAATTTTTGTTTTTCCTTTGTGTTCAATTCATTAGCATTCATTACCATAACCAAAAACAATGGAAAAGTAAAAATTAACTGAAATAAAAAATTAACGACAATTTATGTACATTGATTATTGTGATTTATGTCTGACAGGATCACAAAGTGAATCAGACAGCCTTGCCTCTGACGAAGGTGCAAATGATGATAACACAGATGATGAGTTGTCCAAAGTAGTCGGTGGGCTGGAATTTGCTATAGACAGGCAGGATACAGCTGACTCCAAGCAAGTGCAAAAGAAAGAGGTCACTGAAAGCAAAACTGAGGACAAGAAACCAGTAGAGGAAGATAACAAGCCGCCATTGCATAGTTTACAGTCTGTGAGTTCAGTTCGGTCGCTTCAACTTTTCAATTTTGCCCGCCTGAGATGCGGCGCTTATTTGAGGGTGGCATTTATTTGAATGTTGTACACAACAAAGAATGTTTTTTAATTACGGTATTATAATTTTCCGTATTAAACTAACAGAATTAATGTGTTTGATTTTGATTATATCGGGGCTACTGCTCTCATTCACTTTTTTGTCCCAAAAACGGCACTTGATCTGGGCAGTCCTTATTCGAGTAAATACGGTATTCAGATTATTGAAGTAAATTTACATTGTTTACTGTATGTTAAGTCTTTTGTACAGAAGTGCATGATCAAGAACGCCACCCAGATAGATTGTGCAATTTTCTGTTTCTAATTTGCAGCTTGTAAAAACAGATGTCTCAGGCAAAACAGCCAAGGAGCATGAAGATCTTCAGGCCAAGTGCAGAGAGCTTAGAGTTCAGTGTCTAGACCTGGAAAAGAAACGACAGATCTGTAAGTGAATATTATTATATTATATTGTTGATCTTTTATTTGTGAACACCCATTACAGGCGACCACTTTCCACTAGCGACCGCATGATAACTTTGTATTCAAGAACATTTTTAATAAAAGGGATGTTTGGAACCTCTCGTAAACAACCACATCTTGTAAGAGAGTTTGGCCACTTGAGTGGGTGGTTTTATAATTTTCCAGTGTTTTTTTTTCTGTGAAACGCAGAAGGTTCCAGAAATATTATTTCTGGAATGTTATGGTATTGCAAGGAAAAGCCAATCATGTGTAAGAAAACTAAACACTATTCAGCAACGCAGGGGTTTCAATAAGCACCGACGGCCAACGAAACGCGTAGGCTACTTCGCTCATAGAGGTCGGCTGCTCTTTTTAAAATAAAAATAACGTTGTAAATAAAACATATATCATAAAATCTGAATGAAAACGTAATTATGATGTGATTTCATAAAGAGTTTAAAGACCCACTGGTTTTACGTTATGTGAACGCTATATTTCAGTCAGTTTTTCACAGGTTTACGCAGAATTTGTTTACGTGCAAAGTACTTAATTTAGTTTTCATCATTTCTTCATTGCTTGTAGGAATTGATTGTGTGACTGATAAATCGAAGGTTGTATGAAAACTACATTTTCTCGAATGAAAAACACGCTATTTTGTCCTCAATTCAGTCCCCAGAACGCTGAAAATCGCATTTTAGGGCTTTGAAATTTCTCAGTTTTCTGGGGAAACACGCCCCCAGACCCCCCCCTAGAAAAAGAGGACTAACGTCACCTTGTTGATACAATCGGTTACTCTATTCAGACCTGCTAGCTACTTCAATTTATATTGAAACCCCTTGTTTTTGTGGCTTGCTTACGTGTCCTGAACTTTTTGGTGACTGGTCAGAACACGATAATGATACCCTGAAATAAGTGTTCACAATATTCTCGGTTCTTTGAATCAAACCTAGAAATATATTGGACCTGTAACGCTGTTACTGCAAGATAGTCTGAGAAATCTTGGCATTTAGACTGGTCGCTTACGGGAGGTTCGGCTGTAAACGTTTCAGTAGTTATTTTAGTGTTTTTAAAATTTCTAGCATCATGGGGCCCGTTTCTTGGAAGTCTGGGTAACTTTTTGGGTCCGAAAAAAACAAGAGAATAAAATCGCGGGTTCCTAGCTGACAAACCAGTCTATTTTGTTTTGCTTACTGGTCAATAATCTTATCATATTGTCTTCAGAACTATTAAAGTCTCTGTCTTGAATGGGAACTTTGTGCTCTTTTTGAAAACCTATCTTTTGAATCATGGTAAAGCATTGAGCTGGGGAAGAACTTAATGTTTTTAGTTACGATATTATTTCATTCTTTTATTGATCTAAAACCTTTTTGGGTTTAGTGGAGCGCCAGCTTCAGCAGACAAGTTTGAAGGAGTGGGTGACAAGAAAGAAGTCTTCCGGTAGCGCAGGGACACCAGACGTAAGCCTTATTGACACATTTCTTTACTCTTGTAATTCCTTCTCTACACCATTGATCAAGCTTGGTTCAAAAATCGTGCAAATTTTCAGGAGATAATCAAACACTGGTTTAGTTTTTGTTTTTAGTACCCGAAATAAATCTTGCACTTTGGCATATACAGTGGAAGCTCGATATAACGAAGGGCCAAGGGAGTGGGGAAATTTGTTCCCTATAACGAGGTTCTTTTTCATATGTTGTGCTGTTACTGAGGTAACAATAAAACCGATGACTTCGTTAGTTACTGGTTCGTTATATCTAGGTTCCACTCTAGTCATAAATGCAACCTCTAATGCTTAGAGTGTGAAGGCAAGAAAGTGTAGTGGTCGCCAAGCCCCTGCAAAACTCTAGAAAATTGTTTGTTATTTGTTGCACTGTTGAAATTTTGAGGAGTATTCAGAGTCTTGTTATTATCGGTTTCTTTTCTGTTTTTTTTTTTGACTTTCAGACCTTGTAGGTGTAACTGAAATTATGCCAGACCAACTAATTTTTGGAGTGAATGCATGAGTTTACCCTTACCGGGTATTTTGCTCACTGTGGTCACATCACAAAAGCCTCAGTTTCTTTCTTTGTTTTTCAAACCAAAGTCCAGACCAATCGGGGCATTTTTTTGCATGTGAGCATATCCATAACAAATGTTGTTTCTATTGTAATTTTGTAGGAGCTCCAAGCAGTTACAAGTGAGAGGGATAATCTAAAGGCAAAACTCCGAAAAACTGAAGGGGATTTAGAGCAAGTTAAAACTGAAAATCAGGGGTTTAGAGAAGAGAGAGACCGGCTCAGGCGTAGGGTAGGTTCCATTCTTTTTTGTTGTTGTTAAATCCTTATCGTTCCATTTCTTGATTATGTCGGTTTGATACTAAATTCTCCTTGATGCAAAATTCCAGGCTCACTTGTGCGAGGTGGGGGAAAACTTTTGCGAAGGCTGACCAGAAGAATGAGTTGAGGAAAAATGAAATCAATTTTCCTCGCCCCATTTTCTAACTGGCTTCGCCTAACTCGCACAAGTGAGCCTGCATGCTCGCAGGTTATGACAATCTTATCTGCTTGAAATCAGCTTCCCATTTCTAATCTAGAGTAAGACCTAAGCTGCAAATAATTTTCTTCTTTGAAAGGACTTTGTCCGTATCCGGCCAAGTGACCTTTTATGTCGGATTTTTTATGTATCTTACACTGTACATGTTAGACGCCGAATTCGCAGGTAGACTGATTGTTACCATGTATTCACTGCCTGAACAATGTTATTTCCTCGTTAGTTTAGTTTTTATGCTCAGGGTTGACTTAAACCATCTGCAAAAAAGTTTAGTCTTCACTCGTTCTCGCCCTCCGCGCTCGTCGATTTTCGAAAAGGAAAAGAAGATAACGTCTTTGTGCAGGTGATACTATTAATGCGAACATCATGTTCGGCCTAAGTAAAGATTTCGTCGGACATTCGCCTCTTTAGAAACGGGAAAGAACTGGGCCGAGTTAACATTCGCAAAGACTTCTGGGACGTTGCTAGGTTCAGGCAGCAAAGAATTTGGCCAATAGCTGATCGGCGCGTCCTTAGTGACGATCCTAGAAACAATTACGGGACACATTAGGTTCCAGTTCCCTTTTATTTCTGTAGTGGCGAATGGGCCAATTTTAGTCGGACATTGTCCGGTGACTGACTGTTATTGCAACTTTGTATGGTAGTGTCGAACTCAACAAATGATTTCTCTCTTTCCTGCCAGGTTTTTGAAATGCAGGATCAACTTAAACTGCTTCATCAAAAGTCACTCCAGTATGAGCAACAACAAGCCAGGACACGGGCGAACAGCATGCAGGCGCCTGCAACTCCCAGGTCTCCTAGCACACCTCGCAGAAACACACAACCATCAAGCAACAGTCATTCCGCGGTGCGTGTGCNAACTCAACAAATGATTTCTCTCTTTCCTGCCAGGTTTTTGAAATGCAGGATCAACTTAAACTGCTTCATCAAAAGTCACTCCAGTATGAGCAACAACAAGCCAGGACACGGGCGAACAGCATGCAGGCGCCTGCAACTCCCAGGTCTCCTAGCACACCTCGCAGAAACACACAACCATCAAGCAACAGTCATTCCGCAGTGCGCGTGCTCAGCAGACAAGCAAGTATGAGTGGTGTCTCAGATGGCTCTCATAAAGATAACAGCTATCTGACATCACCCCGTATTGCACGCCGTTCCAGTATTGATAATTTAAGTATGTCCAGCCAAGGTCGAAATTCGCAGTCTATGCCAAACGGACATGTTCGGAGACCCAGTGGCAGTGGAAGTGTCTGGACAGCTTCAGACGGCAGCCCAGCATTCCCGTCACGACACCCATCGGGTAGTGTCCAGTCCATCTCAAGTCAGGCGTTCTGGAGGCCTGGTGCAACTAGTGATTTAGGCTCATCTGTGCACGGTTCAACACAAGAAATAACTGTTGTGGCAAAAATGATTGATGATGGAACGCAAGGTAGAGGAATTACAGGGATGAATTGTATTAGGGCTCTGGTAAGTAATCCGTTTTTTTTTTCCAAGTGAAAAAGGGGCCCGTTTGTAGGGTCTCAAATATTAAGGTCTTCGAGAGGGTTGCCCATAATGGCCTGAGACAGTTTGAGTTACGATCGCGAGCCCCGGTCACTTTGATTTCAGACAGAACAAGTGCTGAGAGACGTATTGAAAGAAAATACCATAAGTCGGAAACTGGATTAGTTTAAAACTATTTGTGTGCTTTTAAGGAAAAAATGGAGACCTCAGACTAATGCAAACTTCGTAGCATAGTTTTTTCTGACTGCGCATTGTCTGTCCTAGCCGTTGTGAGGCAATTTCTCTCCCGCTTGCTTTAATATATTCTCTCGGCTAATTGTGAGGAGGGATAAGCGTCTACTCGTAGTCTTAGATTTTGGAAATTAATAGTTTGTTTCGTATTCCTCTCTTTTTCATATTTTAGAGCCAGTTACCAGAGTTTGCATCAAACAAAATGCCTCCTGACTTAGTAAAAGCATTGGAGAATAGTAAGACTACTCAAGAAGTTTACAAGGCGATGTTCACTTACTGTGATACACAAGCGGACAAGAAACTCAAGGAATATGAACTAGAAATTGAGATGTTAACGAGTCGCTTTGATCACATACAAGCTCAAAACAATGTTATATCTTTGTCGTTAGAGGAAAGTAGAAGCAATGCCGATAGAATGAGTGTTTTAATGGGCAAATATGAATCGAACTGCACCGCTCTTCAACTGGCTTTAAGTTTTTCAGACCGAGTCATGGAAACATACGAGGTGTTGTTAGAGTTGTCAGAGTCCGAACAAGCGAGACTTCTCGCCAACTGTCGGGCCGCTGGGGTTAAAACTAGCCTCCATGGCTATGCGAATCCATCCTCGGAGTCACCTTATAGATTAATATATACCGAAGAGGGTGAAAACGAAGCCGAGAATGATCGGAAACCCGAAGATGTGGAATCGTGCGTGAATCGGAGGCGAATGGCGGAAAACGAAGCGCGGTTTTTGCTTCAAAAATTTGATCGGAATTTTGAGACACAAAGTAATTGTGGACAGCCATGGGAGTCAGTATCATCTAACAGTAGAACTAGTTCAACGGGTTCGTCAAATGACGTGGAGTTCTCCCCTGAGGAGGCTGCCAGATTAAAAAGTTATATTCAACAGTTGAAATCGGAAAGGTCAACCGTCGGTCTTACGGCTATCGAGTTGGAAAGCGTACATGAAGTGGCGCAACCAAGGGATTTGAAGTTGGAACCCCTGGATCCTAAAATAGACTTAGAGAACGCTGTACTCATGCAGGAATTAATGGCTTTGAAGGAAGAAAAAGCCGAATTAAAAGCTAAGAATTATTTAATTGAAAAAGAGAAGAAAGCTCTAGAGCTGAAAATTACGTCGCGGGATGCGCAGGAACATGCTTATCTGGTTCATATTGAACATTTGAAATCAGAGATGCAGGATGAAATACGAAGAAGAAGGAGATTGCAGAAGGACGCTGGCGTCGCGAGTAGCAAGGTAAATATTTGTATGAGATAGGTCGTTTGAAGTTATTTTGCCAGAAGTTTTTTTGGGCTAGAGATCATTGCGTCACCGCAGATATCCATATACGACTCATGCGCAGTAGATGGGAGGTTCTGCTTTAAGGCGCGGTTTTTGATGTCTTGCTGTGGCCTACTGCTCTGCTCTTGTGCAATTTCAAAGTAGGTCTCACCTTTCCCGCCATCCGGCCCCCCACACCCCCTCACATAAAAAAAATTACACCACAGTAAGCGAACTTGTGGAATAATACAATAATTATTGAACTCGATTTTAAAAGTATGGCCATCTGTCAGAGTCTTGAGATCGGCAAATAATGGACCTGCTTGGATTGGCAAATCACTGTATTTTGCTTGGTAGCAATAACCGCTGAATAGGTGTCTTTATTGACGACAAAGGTGATTCTTCGACTGCGGTTTGTTGGGAAGGGACTCTTGCGGGGTAACTCCAAGTTATTCTACATCTTTGTTAATCACAGTCAAAACAAATCATTTTTGGTAGCGTTCACTTTTTATCTGGCCAACTTGGTTCTAAATGTACCGCGATGGGGCGGGCGTGGGGTTGTAGCGGTCGGGGGAAGAAGGAGAGAAAATATCTGCTTCCTAAGTACATTTGATACTCTTTCCAAGGTTGCACTCACCAAGATGGCGGTGCTTTACAGTAAGCGCTAGATCTCGACGATTTTACGGAAAAAAACCGGGAATAGTCCTAGAAATAACTACTCGGAAATTTCAACGCTGACCTACTCTACGATGGCATCCCATTCCTTATTTTCCTCGGCCGGGAAATACCCCCTCTCTTATGCTGGAGTACACCGCCTTCGTTGCCTTAAGTTACTTATGGCTGATATCCAAAGTTTATTTTATTTTATTTTTTTGCGTTTTCCGCGGTATTTTGATGTCGGAAATAGACTATTTGTTTTGTAGTTAGTGTTTCAAAAAACGGGGAGGTAGGGAGGGTTTTCATTGCAGTGGAAGTATGACTTTAAGAAAAGTTACATCCTAACTTTTGCTTTGTTTTAGTCGGACGAGAAATCAGGAGGCAGTGCTTCTGGAACTCCGTCTATTACTCTGGCTGAGTTAAAAACATCCGATGATGACATCCCGCCGGACTTGTATGAAGCTGCCAGGAGAGAAAAGAAGCTCAAAGCCAAAATTCAGGAGTTGGTAGAAACGCTGGAAAGTTTGTCGAAAAACTCGGAAACAAGACATCAACAAACTGCTGAATACGTGGCGGACTTAAAGAAGGCGAACGGTGCTCTTGTGGCAGCTTATGAAAAAGCGAAGAAAAAGCACGGAGCACGGTTACGGAAATTGGAACAGCAGATGATAACCATGGTGGAAAGACACGACGCCCAGGTTAGTACCTCTCGTTAATGCAATTGTTGTAAAATAAAAGTGCGGAAAAAGTTGTTCAAAATGACATGACAATTGGAGCTTTCAGCTTCAACTCCAGCTCTAACTCGTTCACTGTGTAATTCTGAGAAGTCGAAAGTGTCTCGTTGGAACAAATTAGACTATTCTAACATAGTTTGCGCAGTTCCAAGGTATTGCCAGGCAAGGGTGACTAGTTTAGGGGTGGGGTGAAAGTACCCTAGACTAGACAATGATAGGTTCCACTTGTCTTCCATCTGAAAATTTCACGTGTTGGAGCGTCCTGGCCTGTCTGTTTGGCTTCATGGAAGGCAGATTTAGTTAAGAAACACGACGTCAACTGAGAACACGAAAGTTGAGGGTTCGCACGCACCTTGAAAGTCCTTGAAATTGCAGTCCGTTCTGGAAAGTCCTTGAATTTCAGTGCTAACTGTATCCAACCCAGATTCTTAAGTGCCTATAAGGAGCAAACACAGAAAGACCTTCAGGATAAAATTGCTCGTGTTGTGGACGGACTTAGACATAGACATAGACTCAAGGCTCTTTTTTTTCACTGAGTGGAGTCCTTGGAAAATGGGAAATGTTTCTTTGAAAGTCCTTGAATTTTTTGTTCAAAAAAGTATACGAACCCTGAAATTTGCTGTTCTGCCATCGGTCAAGTCGGTGTAAAGACCTGCGCCCGCTGTCGTCTGTCGTCTGTCGTCTAACCGCCGTCCGGTTAGCTCAATCGGATTAGAGCCGGTCTGCTGAGCGTGGGGCCGTAGGTTCAAACCCTGGCCGGACCGACACTCAGGATCTTTAAATAACTGAGGAGAAAGTGCTGCCTTTGTAATAACATCTGCAAACGGTTAGACTTTCTAGTCTTCTCGGATAAGGAAGTTAACCATAGGCCCCGTCTCACAAGCCCTTGCAAATGTAATAAATCTGGGGGACGTTAAAGAACCCACACACTCTTCGTAAAGAGTAGGGCACGTAGTGCCCGGTATAGTGGTCTATCTCACTTTCACACTCATGTATGGGGGCATCATCACTCATTCCTTCATTACTTGTTAACTGTACCTTAAACAGTATGGCAAAGTCCACCAACCAGAAAAGCCCTGAGAGGAGTGGATAATAAGATATTATATTTTACACTTCGTCACTTTATCTTTGGAAAATCTGCCTAGTGATTAAAGCTGTGCTTTAAGCCGAAAGCTCCATGTTTTCCTTGAGTTTTTCTTGCCTAAGACTAGGGTTTAATTTTCTTAATCTTACTATGTAATAGTGGTGTTTGTTAATAGGACTGGGTGGAGTCTAGTTCGGTCTTTGATCGGTTGACCCCCCCAAAATATTGACCTTCGAGGCCCAGTAACGGGATTTTCGGTTTTTGCCGCGCGAAAAATGGAACGAGAGCCAAAAAATGAAAGAGGGGGTAGGGGGAGGGGATGGAAGGAAACTTGTTTCCTTCTTTTCTTCCCCACCCCCTCCCCGCTCTTTTATTCGCGCCATTTTTCGCGCGGTCCTCGTTCTTTGCTCCAAAACCGCACGTAAACTCTTGCTACGCAGGTTATATGTGGGGTAAAAGGACCACAATATTTCAAGGAAGTAAAAATGCTCACTCTTCGATCTTAGATGCCCATATGAGGGGCATGAATAACCCTCTAAGGAAAGTTATACCCTACAGTGCCAGAGCGAGGGACTTGTCTTTTTTTCCTCAAAACGCAACACCAAGCTTAGGGTGGCCCATCAGGGTTTGGGCGGGGCGAAAATGCGCATTTCTACACTGATCGATGTTATTTTGTGCCTTTTCGATTTTGCTTCATCTTTTACCCTTAATTTCTTGAGACTGACCGGTTCTTTTATCAAAAAGGCATCTATATTGTCATTGATTTTTTTTTTCTTTTTAAGCTCAGATTTAAAGAAGCTGTTAGAGCTTTATTTTTCTACTGTCTTGGCAGAATTCTTAGACAATGTGTTCTTTTCGTTTGTGTCTTAGGTGCGAACCATGAAGGAAAGAATAGCATTATTGGAAGAAGAACGAAAGACAACTTCAGCACGGCAAAACGAGACCGCGCTCTAGTTCACAATGTCAAGAAAGGCATCATCTGTAATGTACCATTTAAAGTGAAACTACCCCGCTTAACAGGTCCGGACACATTTTTGAACGGACAAAAACTTGCACCGATCCGCCTTTCGTTTTCACAGGACGCGCGCAACTTTGCAACTTTTTGAACGGCAAAGTGTGCAAGTTTTTTTTTGGCCTGATCAGGTCAAAATTTTTACCGGTACGGTTCCACTTGTACGCGGACTCCAGTAACCACCTGAAGAGTGCATTGCACAGTTTGCGCGGTAAAAGCCTGGAGGCTTTGACATAAAAAAATTCATTGCTGACACTGGCAAAAATCTGTACGCACTCGCGTAAACAGAACTGAAACGGAATTGGCACGGTTTTGTTGACGGGTTGCACTGGTAAAAAAATTCGTCCGTTCGAAAATTTGTTGGGACCCTTGTCAACGGGGTCTTTGTAAGTAGAGGAATAACATGCAGCTACTCTAAATCTAAATGATAACATGGGATTTAACAACGTCTAGATGGCACTTTAGAGAAATTACCACCTGGGGCCAATTTAATAAAACTTTTACAACTGTCCCTATTGTTTTCTTACTCTAAAACAATACATACAGTTGTAGATTACTCTTGTAAAAGTCATATTTAGGGTCTGTTTACATGGAGGTGGGGTACCCCAGATAGGTGAGGTAACCCGCTTAGGTGGGGTAACCCGCCTGTCCGTATAATCTCTCATTTTAATGTGATCACGTTTACATGTGAGGCGGGGTAACCCGCCCCATGTTACCTCACCTACCCGGGGTCCCCCACCTTCATGTAAACAGGCTGTTAATTGACCCCTGGCTGTGGATAATTCTAGCATGTTCTTTGTATTGAAGTCACGCCTTGTGTTACGAGGAGGTTTCTTAATTTAAGGGTTTAGTGTCATTTCCGTGATGTCCAGTTCAAATTGTAAAATAAGTTGTAGTTTGGTTGTTCGACTTTGTAAAAAAAATACAGTAAACTAAATATTTAAGACCTTCATTTATGGAGGAGTAATCGCGCATGTAAAAGGCCAGGCGGCAGTTAAGAGCGAAGCTTTGCGTAATAGTTTTATGTTACTTACCGTAAGTTGTGGTTTGAATTACTGTGTAGTGTTGTCGGCAGGTGAAAATATCACAGATTTCTGAATTTTATTCCCTGTCCACTTAAATCTATTCCAAAACAACTCTTTTCCTTTGATCATAAAGGTCAATGAGGTACGCATTTATTTTAGAGTTTAAAAAACGGGTTAATCAGGGGCACCCAAAAAGAACATAGTTCAAAACCACTTAAACATAGCATTGTTGAACGTATTTTAGTATTTAAACGGTAGATATAGGCATATTTTTATCCCCTAAAAATTTTTTCATCCGTTCGAATTTCCTAGCTGAAAGTCTAGTGATCCGAAAATAGTCGGGATCAAAAGTTACCTTTTCGAAAATTTCAGCCAGAAAAAAGGCTCCCGAAAATTCTAGGTGACCTTTTTCCGTTAAAAATGGGCAATTATACCATTTTTTAGATGTTCGAAAATCCTAGGAGAGGCAGGCAAGCAAGAAATTTTACAACAAATATTCCGAAAATTCTAGATCTCAAATCGTTTTCCGAACAGATATTTTCCAAAAATTAACGTTGGGTGCCCCTGGTCAATGCCGACACCGACAGGGCTCGTTAAAACGCATGTACCTCGTACAGAAAGAAATCACAACAGATGACATCAAAGATGTTTTAATGAACACAACTAACGAGTAAAACGTGGTAAATTAGCTATTGCTTATGTCTTGTATGTCTTGTTTCTGATTGGTTTAAAATCTACGTGCATATTGTGATTGGTCAGGGTAGATTTCAGCAATCAAAACCTAGCATGCTCTTTTTGTGCGCTTGATGTATTTTCATTTAATTTGATATTCCAATTTTGGTCAAAGTTTCTTTCAATATGAGAATTACCAGATTTCGCTTTTCTGCTTTGCCAAACTGCTGCATGTGACATGTAACTTCAAATAATATTGCTTGAAGAAGAAAAGCTTGTAAATTGAATTTAGATTTAAATTAAAACCAAAATCATCTTTACTTTTGTTTGTTCTGACTTTGACTGTTAGCTTATTTTTAGACCGCACACCCTGGGTTGCAATATCGAATTGTTTGTTGATGAACAAAAAGGACAGTTCAAACGTTACATGAATATCTACACATCATACACAATAATGTATAACTAAACATTGAATCTACTTAAGAGTACATTCTCTTAACAGCAATCAATCGTTAATCTTCTAATCCAGGTGACTATTTTTCACCTTAGAAACCCTCGGGGAAGTGAACTCTTCTCAAAAAAATTTCAGATAGTTACTATTTTTTGACGTTTTGGGTACTGGACGTTTAAACCGATTTTTAACAGAGTAATACACTCCCTGAAGGGAGAGTGACTTCAAGAGACTGACTCGACTAGCATCATCATAGTCCTTTGATGAAAAAATTATTTACATTCATAGGCTTAATTATTTCATAATATAAATATTTTCGATCAACAAGTGTTTATGAATTTTAACAGTTTGGGAGTAGTAACCAGAAATCCAAGTTATAGTAGGAAAATACTTTCCTTCTTCCAACTAACAAATAACAAGCAACAAACAACAACAACAACAGGCAAACGGCAAATTAGCTTTTGTGTCGAGGTTAAGGGGTGATGTCAATGCGGGTACACCAATGATCTACAATAGCAGTAGAAAGAAGGCCTTTTGAGGGAGAAAAACTTTGGTAATTGCTAGCCTTAGGAAACAGCCGACCTTTCTACATGCTGCCACTGGTTTTCCCATGAAATGGTGTCTAAACAACGACTACAAAAATCCCATACTATTGACATTCACTAGCAAGATCTGGATAGTGCTTCGGATTGGTTGCAGTCGCTGCTCACTCAGACATCATTTTGCAAGGAAACCAGTGGAGGAGTCAGAAAATGTTGGCTGTTTTTCTTAAACTAGGTGATTGTATACTTTGGGAATTTTCGAAGAGGTGGTAGGAAGAAAATTTGGCGCAGACACACAAGATCAAGGGAGCATCATTGAAAGAGAGAGAGGAATGCACTTTTATGGATGTTAAGAAATATCTACAACGTATACCATGCATCAAATGTCAAATTTGTATTCCAACTTTAAACGAGTTAAATAACGAAGTTATCCGTCACCCAAAGTTTGGGGAAGAATTGAATGTTGATCCTTCAACTCATTCGAAGGTTAACTGTGACAAACAGCTACTTTTTTTCTTTTGAAAAGGCTCTTAACTTTTTCATAAATACGGTTTAAGCCTTCCCTGTTAATAAGTTCTCGAAGGGCTTCAGCTGAATGAAGTTTTCTTCGCACGGCGGCCTTACCGGGATTTCCTTTAAAGTGGTTCAGGAGAATTAAGACATCTTGCCTTTTCCAAGCCACACGTCGCTTACACTGTTTGGTCAGTTTCTTAACTTTCTTTCTAAAGATGCTTTTCACCTTCTCGTAGATTCGGTCAAAACCTTCTCTGTTCAAAAGTCCTTGAAGTTCCTTTTTTCTTTTCATCTTCAAGCGAATGTTAGCTTTGCCAGGGTTGGTACGGAAGTGATTCTTTATGAGCTTGGAATCCTCGCTTTTCCAAGCTTTCCTTTCAGGATAGCTATCACAGCTTTTATTTGAAGATGGTATTCCAGCAGCTAAGTTGGTCCTTGTACAGGTCTGGGTGCCTGTTACACTTGTGCTTGCGGTAGATGTTTCTTTGACCACCATCTGGGCACCAGATACAGGGTGGGTGTGTATAAATGCAGCCAATTCGTTGACATTTTCCGTCCAGTTTGAGATGGTTGAACTCAGGCTTCTTGCCAGTTGCAGAGGGAAACCCTGGCATCCAAGAAACACGTAAAACTTTTCGAGGGAAAACAAACGCTTCCGAAAGATACGCATTGATCTTTTCTTTCCCGCACTGGGTTGTATCCATTTCGACACTCGTCCACGATCAAGAAGGCAGTGTATGGTGTCGCCATCTTCCATGTCACAGTCAATGGAATCCATTACATCACCGACCTGAGTAGCATGCACCTTGGCCACTTCCTCAGTCATTGATCCAGCATCCGTTGTCTGGAGGTATTCAACAAATGCTGAAAGAAAAGCTGCTCGAGTGGCTGCTTTGAGAACCTCTTCTTGTTTCTCCTCTTCCTCCAGCTCCTCTTTACCATCATCACGTTCCATCTTGATTCTTTTCTCTGGAATATCGCGCATTCTTGCAGCTTGTGATGGCCGTTTACGACCATAAAAACGAACGACCTTTTGGCGATTCTGGTCCTCAGGAGGACACTCTTGACGCTCTTCAATTACTTCATTCCCAGACAGTACTGACAGTTTTTGCCTTGAGTGTCCGCTGAGATTTCTGAACTGTAACTCCTGCCCTGTTTCCATGTCAATTTTTTTTAACAAGTGTGTCTGTAAACAAACAAAAACACCCAAGGGTTCTTAATATTATATTTTTCTGAGAAGGAATTATGAAAGTGCAGAAAGAGGGAATGGTGGAGTAAAAAGACTCACAAAAAAATCCATTGTCGAAAAAAAAAAAGTCTCAACGAAAAATGCAGTTGGAAATAATACTACGGGTTAGTGTTCCAGGTATGTCACATTATTATAAGTTTTCACTAACCATCAACCAACCGAATTCCTTTCCCAAGCAATTTAACCAATAAATACCTTTCTAATCACACAAACTTTTAATTTACTTAACTTTCAAATTTATCTACTTACTGTAAACTAAAATTCATGTGCCAGTGCTTTTTTTTTTTGAAATAATGAGGTTGCTCTCCTCTCCTTTTTCTATGTAATCCTACGTAAATTTCAATTTCCTCCTGCTTTGATCAGCTGTATGCTATTTCGCTGAAACGGGCTGTTTTGAAGGAAAATGTGAATTTTAATAAGTAAACATAAATTTCAAATTGAAATTGAACTTGAACTTAGACAAAAAGCAAAAAAAAAGGTATGACTTTGTTGATCTCAAAATTTGGGAAAACCCAAGTACTCCATACTACAATAATTAGGTGCAATCTGGATGCTTAAATTGAGCAATGCCAGGATTCAGATTGAGGTTTACCAGCTTTTCTGGACATAGGCCTGCCCAGAGGGAATGTGCATGAACGGCAC